TCTATACAGTTTTCAAATAAGACCACAAAAGTTGCTTGATCACTGTGGATACATAGATCTTAGCACGTTCTTGCTGTAGCTCTCCAGGCCAGCAGGCCCATAATCTTGAGAACCTCTAGCAAGTGAAGTTCCTTTTTGGGATGGTAGAGAGAATTCCTCTAAAGAAAAGGTTCAATGACACCATCTATCTGCTGGGCCAACAGATTACAGAAATGTGAAAAATCCTACATTTTTGTTCCCTGTTGGTTAATCTCTTGGGTGCAAAAGAAGGTTGCCTATTGAGGAACCAATGTAAGAGGCCGTTCATCATAAAGTCACTCCCCTGAACAATCTTGTGACAGCTATTCAAATCCTGGCCCATCTTTAGTAGTCTGGTCTGCCTAAGCAAGGGACTAGTTAGGGCTGTTAGAGCAAATCACTTTCTCTCTGTGCTTCATGTCCTCTTCTAGAAGAGAGGGACAATGGTAACCTTCCCCACTGAATATACTGGAAAGACAAAACTGGATACGGCCACAAATCACTGATTCCTCACAAGCAACAGGGCTCTGATGCACCAAAGTATTCCTTTGCAGGTTTTCTCCATTCTTTCCAATGGAAGAGGCAACTCCATACATACAAAATGGAGGGCATGTGGACCCTCTTCCTCCATCGCGCAATGAATGGGGACATGAGCCGCCCTGAGCCTGCTTCAGCGGGGAGGGCAGGGTATAAGTTGAATAAATAAATAAATAAGTCTCTAAATCAGCTAAAATATCGTAAAGAATTTGGCACATTAGGAATGATATATAAATAGATCTTAGTACTACTATACTATTATAATTATGGTCTTCTTTGTCTTTGGTACATTTAGCAACCATTCTGTTTCCAAGTTCTTCTCTACTGTAAGGTGGGGCTAGTAACTTATAAAAAGAAATTTGAAACACTCAGGGTTTTGCCAAGTTGCTGGAAGCCTTTTAGATATTTTGCTCTTTGTGGCGTGACTGCAGCCATTAGAATTTCCACAGTGCCTGTTCAGACCTCAGGGGACTTGGGGTGCAGGGAAGGGGTGCACCAGGAAGCCTCCCATGAATCAGGGTTCCCATTCCAACATGAACTTGTTTGCATTGGGAGATGACGGCCCCAGCTCTTTCTGCAGCACTCACAGCACATGCCAACGCGTTAGAGCCAGAAAGCGGAAGAGAAAGGGGCACTGACCAGTCTGGTTTCATTGTCCAGCTGAGAGGCAGAAAGTGAACAGACCGCATGGGAAGGGGAATAAGGAGGTTGCAGGTCCATCATCTCAGACAGGGCCAGTAACAGAGAAGTCTGTTTCCTGCCCATGCTCCTTGGATGCTGCCTGTGCATAGCCAAAAAGGTGGGAGTCTGACAGGAAATCTGTCCAGGCCTCTCCCTCCTCCCCAAACTCAGCCATAAGAGGACACAGAACATCTGGTGATTCAGGAGGCAAATGGAGGAGCTGGAGACTCACAGCTGATTTTGGAGCCGGCGGGTTGGCAGCCGGTCGTCCGTTTTCCCTTCCATCCACAGCATCCGCCTCTGTGTGATCAATCTGGAAGGCAAGAGAGAGGCATGAAATTAAGTGGCAAAGGCGGCAGCCTGCCATCCTGTCCCTGTTGCAGCTGCAGGAGCATTTTGGTCTAATTCAGCTAGGCAGGTGCCAAGGGTGGGAAATCTCTTGTATAAGACAAAGCGGGCTACAGCTATTGATTTAGCACACAGATATTTATACCACACTTTTCTCCCCACAGTGAACGTGAAGTGCCGTACAGCTTTCCTGGCTTTATCATCCATTTTAAGGGACGCTTATGACGCAAAACACTGATTAATCTTTAGCATGTTGCTGTGTTATTTTTGCTGCAGCAGACTAAACAGCTAACCATCTGGAATTTATTTCTGCCAGAACTGACAGCTGTTGGGGTTCAGATATTTTGCATGGGGAAGAGGTAGGTCCTTGACCTCCCCAGAAAAACCTGTCTGAGGGCCAAATGTGACTGCCTCACTGTGGAAGCTGCTTCTTGGTTTCTTCCCACATTGCTCCTGATGGGAATCAATGATGGGAATCAATGAATGGACCATGTGTAGTACCATCACCGTCTTCCCCAGACAACATTCATTTGGGAAGGAACCAAATCATTGCCCCTGTCCACATGGTTCCTTTATCCGTGCACTATTTAGTAGCCTGGACAGATGCTGTGGGGAAGCAGTCCCTCATGAAGGCCCATGGAAGTGTGGCAGCTTTCCCTCTTCTGTGGCAATGTCATGCAGAAGGCACAAAAAGACCATTGTACATCACTTAAAATGGACAACTATGTGAGCTTCCCATCAGAGGTTTATATGGACTTTTTTATCTCTGTAAGAAAAACACATACGAAGCAGCATTTGGGATAGCTATCTCCAACCTAATCCCACATCTAACCTTACAACACCCATTCCTCAAATAAATTTTAGCCCATTACCTTGTAATTGTGAGCACTGAGGTATTTGAAGTGTCCAAAGCAGACGTGACACAAGCAGATCACTATGGTGATGACGAGAACCACAAAGGTGAACATGGATGTAAAAGCTAGAAACCCTGAAGGAGGCAAAGATCCACTGTCAAAGCACAACCTTATTATTCGTCTCTTTGCTCCTACTCTAGCCCTCAGTTCTGTGACATTACAAGTGCTGGCCCGAAATATCCACCCCATTTCACCACCATTGAAAGTGCAGAGTCTTTCTCAGTCATGTACAGGGCCGGCTCTCTCACTAGGCCTACTAGTATCTGGACTAGGGCACAGATCTCCCAGGGGCGCAGCGAGGCCCCTGCCGCCGCCTGCCTGCCCGTGCCCAGCATGGCTTTCTGGGCACCCACAACGCGCCCCTTCCTTCCCGCGGCTCCACCCTGCACAGCTCTCCCGGCTACCAGCCATTGCTGCTCCCAGTCGCATGGGGGCGCAAAAGGGGCCGAGGGGAGAGGGGCCGGCACTGGCATCCAAGATGCGCTGGAGAAGGAGGGTGGCCCTGGCCGGGCTGGCCCTTCCCCCTCGGGGCCCGGAGGCGCCTTGCTCTGTTCCGCTCTGCTCGGACTCGCCACCACTTCCCTCCCCCAAACCTCGGGCCGAGGACCGTTGAGGAGAGGCAGGCCGAGGGGCAGCCACGGGGAAGATGCACACTCTGGGTTCGGCGCCCCCTGCCGTCTGACTGCTGCCCAGCCCCAGCCCCCACACCATGCGGCCCTCCAGGCAGGGAGCGGGAGGCCCAGCCCGGCGGGGGAGACTCTCCTCCTCGTCCTCCCCCTTCAGCCCCGGGGGGGCAGAGGGTGTGCCGGGAGGAGGCAGAGGCAGTGGCGGGGGGGGAAGCATGAGGAGGATGGTGGGGGGGACCCTGGGTGGTGTGGGGGGAGGCCTGCCTGAGCCTGGCCCCGAGGGTTGCGCCCCTGCTGCTGCACCCCGGCTCCAAGAACCTCCAGGTTTCCCCAGGGCCGGGGACCAACGGAGGGGGTTCGCTGTCGGCCGGCCGGCCCCTGGGCTAAGCAGTCCAGTCCTGCCCCCCCCACTGCGGAGTCCAGAGCCAGTCCTGCGGAGCTGCTGAGATCAATGGGAGGAGATGGGGCCGGCCACCCCACCCCCCACATCGGGACCCGGCAGCACTTCAGCCCGCGCTGCCCGGGGCGGAGCACTCCCTCATCTCCCCTGCCCCCCCAGTGGACGAAAGAGCTGCCACCGCCTCCTGGCTCCCTAGCTGAAGCCCCCGCCAGTCCTGTCGCCTGGCAGGAAGGGCAGCCTGGCTGGGCCCGACCCGGGCAGGGGTGCAGCTAGCTTGTGGCGCCCGGTGCCCCCCCTCCCGGGCGTGTTTTTGGGAGGTCTCCAGGCCCCACCGGGAGGTTGGCATCGCCTGGCGGCGCCAGAAGCTGGCCTCGCCTAGGGTGCAGAAACACCTCGAGCCGACCCTGGTCATGTATTCCATTTCACTCACTTACTCACCTGTCTACCATTGCACTGAGCAACAGTAGCTTGTATGCAGCTGCCAGCAGGTGAGACCAAGAGGACAAAATCCACCAACGAAGCCAGCAACACCCCCCATCCATTACCTCCACCACTCACCTGTGCGCACAGTAGAGAAGAAAAGGAGCCAAAAGAGGCAGAGGATAGGGGCTGCCACCACCTGGTTTACAGCCCCTGAATGGATTTTCTTGTCCAGCTTGGCTGGCAGGTAAGCATAGTACAGGTTGTACCTGTCCACCAGGTGCTTCAGTAGCATGTACATCAGACCTATCATGAAAAGAGGAAGGAGAAGGAAAGAAGAGCTGAAATCTTGGCTGAATAGCAGATAAGAGACCATAGTTTAAGTTGCAGGGAGGGTCCTTTCTCTTGCGGGCTAGGAGAATGGATTAGACCTGAAGAGCCAGCCTTCTTCACCTCAAAACTAAGTTGTCCAGCCTCCAGTAAGCAACAAACCAGAATACAGTAGTTTCCTGTGCTCCTCAAAACCATCTTGAATTGAGAATTTGCAGGATAAACAGTCAATTGCCCTGTATTACCCAGATGTAGTTTTAAAGAAAACAATTTCAATGAACCAATATAAAACCACTGTGGATGTATATATCTGGTTAATTATTTTGTAAATAAATCCTGGTAAAGTGAGGCCAAGGAGGCATGATGGTTCTTACCGAATGGAACAATGATGGGGCAGGTAATACTGTAGGTCATAACAACAGTGAAGACGCACATCATCCAGGCATAAGCAGCCCCAAACTGGAATTCATAGGCCTGATGCTGAAGGATAGAGTACAAAAACAAAGATCTTGTCAGTAAAGCATGCACAAAAATGCTTGGAGGGATAGCGACGATAATGCAATCACCTTCAAGACCCACACATTTAAAATCTGGCACAGAAAGGAGAAAGCCTGGAAAAATGGGAAAAATTAGAGGGGGGAAGACCCCCATTTTTTCTGAGCCCCCCTCAATTTTTGGTTCAGAAAAAATGGAGCATTTGGGGGATCACAGGGGTGGGGGAAGAACTCCTATAAAATATTTGTTCCTTTTGAAACAGTGAAATTCATACAAAGGTAAGTCTTTTCACACTCAAAATGTATAAAATGAAAAAGCCTGAGAACTTTTACAGTTTGGAATACCAGTGTTGGGAGGCTGCATCTGAGGAGGGCCTTGGCCTCTATGCCCTGGATGTTTGGCCCTCCACAGCCACTGTGTGAAATGGTATGTTGGACTAGATGGCCCAGCAGCCTCTCATGTTCTTAATTTTTCCAGTGGAAAAACTAGAAAATTTGGGGGAGCAATGGAAAAAAACAACCCTTCCTTGAAATAATGAGTAAGAAAAACTTGTCTTAAAAATATTCCAGTCATTCTAAATGTATTGCATGAAAGAAGTCCTCAAATGTTTCCCATTTTTTCCAATGGAAAACTGGAAAGTCTGGGGGGGACAATTAAAAAATCCTGTTTTTCACCCTGCTGGAATGAGTTTTCAGAGATCAAGATTTTACTTTCCTAGTTTTACTTTCTTTCTTTTGTAGTTTTATTCAAATTATGCCGTATGAATATGTTTATGTAAGAATCTACAGCATTAAATAATCCTGATGTATACTGTAGGCATATGCATCATATTCAAGAACATTTTTAAGAATGTAAATAATTCTGGCAACTAATACTAATAATGTGTTTATGGATAATACATCACTAAAGGGTTCAGGGTTTTTAATGTCATAAAGTTTAGCTTCATAGCTAATATGCTGGTAGCCCAACCTATTGTGACAGGATGAGAGAGTTTATGTCCAAATATTATATGTTCTTTGCTTATTGAAGAATTCTTTTTCTACCTTCAACTTCTATTTTTCCCCTGCCTCCTAGATGGTGAAAATTAAAGTTACATGTGTTATGGCAGCATAGATTGCAGGAGTTTCCAACTCTTTCTCAAGTATTGCACATACTTGCAATTTCTTATAGAAAAATGAAGGCATTTACAGTTTTAAATTCCACAAAATACACTAAATAGTACAGTTTTTCTCACCAAATGTTTGTTGTTTTTATGTCTTTGTACATATTTTAGCTCTGTTTTTAACTGTTTTAATGTTTTAAAATCTGATGTTATGTATGTTTTAATTTGTTACCCACTTTGTTGGCCCTTGTAAGGATAGTAAGGTGAGATATACATTATGTAAATAAATAAATAATAAACAATATTATATGCTACATTATTTCTAAGTTGTTAATAAAACTAGGTTTGATAGGAAAGTGAGTATTGGTTTTTCCCAAAATGTATGTTTTGTTGTGGAGAAAAGGGGGGGGGGAACCCTTGTATTTTCTGTGGCTTCAACATTTCCAGAAATTTTACATCTAGTGTTATGTATTGGGACTGAATCATTCTAAGTATATCACACCAGAGACTGGCTGAGCTTGGAGCACAAGAACAATAGCCTACCAGGACTCTAGAAGTAACCAGTCTAGTAGTAATGTTATGTAAACAGCCTATCATTGGGAGTGGGGTGTGTTTGGGTGTGGCAATTGCATGCTATTGAACAGAGCTGTGGCTCTGGGGTCTTGTTGAAATAAAAAATAAAGTTGAGCTGATCACTGGACTTGAGCCTGCTCATCCATGGAATCCACTATTTAACATCTAGCATAAGCTTTTGTGAACTAGAAAGCTAGAATTTTTATTCAGGCCCAGGCTTTCAAGAACTAGAACCCACTTTATCAGAGGCATGAACTTCATACCTCTGATGAAGCGGGCTCTTACCTGTGGAAGCTTTTACTAGAATAAGTGTCTTTGTCTTTAAGGTGGCACAAGCCTCAGTTTGTTTGTATCAACATAAATGCTTGAGATATCCGAGAGAACAAAAAGAAATACACCTGGCTTGCAGGTCGATTTTCCCCACATGTAGGGTTGCTAGGTCCGATTTTGTCCCCAGCGGGGGACTTTGGGAGGCGTTCCCAGAGGGGGCAGGGCGACCCCAATGTGATGATGTCACCTTGGGGTCATCCCGCTTCAAGCCCCGCTCCCAAGAAAAACTGCTGGCAGCCACCCCTCTCCCAACCCCCCCTGCAAGATTTAAAGGGCCTGCTGAA